AACTTCAGTAATAATTACAGTTTCAGTTTATGTTTCTGGTTAAAAGAAGCTTAAAGAAAAACACAACTACTCTGCTGTTTCTGTGACAATGTCAATTTTAAATCACAATTTTAGAAGTACACAGTTATCGTTGGCATAACATAGTATACCTATCAATCCTCCTCAATAAAATGACTCAGCTGTATGCAGTTCTGCCAGTCAACATGCGAATTAATATTGTATTAAATTGCATACAGCTGAGTCATTTTGGGGCTCAGTTAACCCCTAAAATTTCAATAGAATTAACCAAATTCTTGCGGCTTTTTTTTTTTTTTTGAGACAGAGTCTCACTCTGTCGCCCAGGCTGGAGTGCAGTGGTGCAATCTCAGCTCACTGCAACCTCTGCCTCCCAGGTTCAAGCAATTCTCCTGCCTCAGCCTCCCGAGTTACTGGGACCACAGGCGCACGCTACCACACCCAGCTAATTTTTTATATTTTACTAGAGACGGGTTTTCGCCGTGTTGCCCAGGCTGGTCTCGAACTCCTGAGCTCACACCTATAATCCCAGCACTTTGGGAGGCTGAGGCAGGCCAAGGCAATCTGGCCGCCTTGGCCTCCCAAAGTGCTGGGGTTACGGCCACTGAGCCCGGCCAAATTACTGATACTTTAAAATCAACATTCTGTCCCCTCTTTAACCCTACCATTTCTAAGCTTTCATTATAAGAGCTGACCGGAATTGGTTGGGCATGGTGGCTCACGCCTGTAATCCCAGCGCTTTGGGAGGCTGAGGTGGGTAGATGGCTTGAGCCTAGGAGTTCAAGAACAGCCCAGAAAACATGACGAAATCCTGTCTCTAACAAAAAAACAAAAGCTAGCTAGTCTTATAACTCATTCTCTAGACAGATAGATAGATAGGTTTTTTTCAAAAGAGCTGACTGGAATTGCCCGACAGCTAATTTAAAAGGCTGAGAGCAAATATAGTTCCTAAAGAACTGTAATTATAAGTTTATAATTCCTTTTTTCATCTGTCCTACATATGGATTAAAGAAATCAGAACCACCCATTTGATACATTAAATAGCAAATACTGTGCAGGCCTAAAGATTTTTTAAAAGGGTAAGTTCCAAGAGTCCTTATGTTTATACATGCACTTGGAGTGTTGTTCTTTATCCTTTTAAGCTTTTTCTTTTGTCCATTTATGGATTCATCTGAAGCTTTACTAATTTTTCCTTTTTAATGTCAGAATTCTGTAAGGAACATTGAACATATGTTAGCATATAAAATAGTTTATTCTTGTGAAAATGCTGACAAAATAATTTGTGTATTGAATTTGGTATTTTTATTGCCTTCTAGTTTAATATTGACTATTACTTTTTATATAAAATAAGATTAACATAGCAATCTTCTTTTTTTGAGATGGAGTTTTGCTCTTGTTGCACAGGCTGCAGTACAAGGGTGCGATCTTGGCTCACCGCAACCTCCGCCTCACAGGTTCAAGTGATTCTCCTGCCTCAGCCTCCTGAGTAGTTGGGATTATAGGCATATGCCACCACACCCAGCTTATTTTGTATTTTTACTAAAGACAGGGTTTCTCCATGTTGGTCAGGCTGGTCTTGAACTCCCGACCTCAGGTGATCTGTCCACCATGGCCTCCCAAAGTGCTGGGATTACAGGCGTGAGTCATTGCGCCCAGCCAGAGACTATTTCTTATTAAGATTGCTACTTTAGGGCTGGGCGTGGTGGCTCACGCCTGTAATCCCAGCACTTTACAAGGCTGAGGCGGGCAGATTTCGAGGTCAGGAGTTAGAGACCAGCCTGGCCAACATGATGAAACCCTGCCTCTACTAAAAACCCAAAAATTGTTCGGGCATGGTGGTGCTCGCTTGTAATCCCAGGTACTCAGCAGGCTGAGGCAGGAGAATCGCTTGAACCTGGGAGGTGGAGGTTGCACTGAGTGGAGATTGCACCACTGCACTCCAGCCTGGGCGACAGAGACTCCACTGAACAAAAAAAAAAAGAAAGAAAGAAAGAAAGAAAGATGTCTCCAAGTAAAGTATGGAAAAGTTGGCTTTGAGAAGAAATAAAAGTGTTATTTTTTCTTCTGAGAAAGAGCCAGAGAGTAAAAGAGTGCAAATACAGATAAATTTTGAGGTTTTAAGTGTTAAGGAAGAAATCATCTCCTTAGAGGTGTGAGATAGCTGAAGGCTTAAGGGAAAGTAAAAAATTGGGGGTTGGTCACTATAATGAGTCAGACAATAAAAGTAACATCCAGCTATCACTGAAAGCTAGAAAGCATGAAAGCACAATGGGACCTATCAGCATTGTGTGACCTTCTCCACCAAATTTTTTTCTTTTTCGAAGACTGGGGATAGGGAAGGTTCTCACTATTTTCCCAGTCTAGACTTGAACCTGTGATCCTCCTGCCTCAGCTTCCCAAGTAGCTGGGACTACAGGCACAAACCACCATGCCTTGCTTATCATAAATAATTTTGGCTGGGCATGGTGGCTCACACCTATAATTCCAGTACTTTGGGAGGCCAAGGTGAGTGGATCATCTGGGGTCAGGAGTTCAAGACCAGCCTGGCCAACATAGTGAAACCCTGTCTCTATTAAGAATATAAAAAATGGCCGGGCAAGGTGGCTCAAGCCTGGTTTCCCAGCACTTTGGGAGGCCGAGACGGGCAGATCACAAAGTCAGGAAATCGAGACCATCCTGGCTAACACAGTGAAACCCCGTCTCTACTAAAAAATACAAAAAACTAGCCAGGCGAGGTGGCGGGCGCCTGTAGTCCCGGCTACTCGGGAGGCTGAGGCAGGAGAATGGCGTGAACCCGAAAGGCGGAGCTTGCAGTGAGCTGAGATCCGGCCACCACACTCCAGTTTGGGCGACAGAGCGAGACTCCGTCTCAAAAAAAAAAAAATTAAAAGAGTAGAGAGAATAGACATACTTGTTTTGCTTGTATAGGCCCAGACTCTGCTTGGAAGGATGTTCAATAAACACACACTGTTGCTCCCAGGGCAGGTGGTGGCAAAATACAATAGGAAATGTAACCCTGCAGCCATGCAAGACAAAGGCTCTTTATGGAGCTGACAGAGAAGGGTGGGTGATTTATCACTGTATATCCACCTGTCCTTTTTCAATTTTGACACATATAAATGTAACTACTTATTCACAAATAATAAAAATTACAAATTGTAAATTGCCTTAATTACTTGCAAATTACCCAGTCCTTCCAATCTCTTTTTTTATTGATACCTCACAATTGTGCACATTTGGGGGTTTGTAATATTTTAATACATGTATACAATGTATAATACTCAAGTCAGAGTAACTGAGATATCCATCACCTGAAACATTTATCTTTGTTTGGGAATCCAATCATTCCAATATCGTTTTTGTTGTTGTTGATTTTAGGTGTCTTTTTTTGTTTGTTTGTCTGTTTTTGATACACAATCTCGTTTGTGGCCCAAGTTAGAGTGCAGTGGCACGATCTCGGCTCACTGCAACCTTTGCCTCCCAACTCAAGCAATTCTCGTGTCTCAGCCTCCAGAGTAGCTGGGATTATAGGCACACACCACCACGCTCATCTAATTTTGTATTTTTAGTAGAGATGGAGTTTCACCATGTTGGCCGGGCTAGTCTCGAACTCTTCACCTCAAGTAATCCGCCCGCCGCAGCCTCCCAAAGTGTTGGGATTACAGGGGTGAGCCACCGCATCTGGCCTGTTGATTTTTGTTTGAGACAGTGTCTCACTATGTCACCCAGGCTGGAGTGCTGGGACATGAATATGGCTCTTTGCAGCCTCAACCTCCTGGGCTCAAACAATCCTCCAGCCTTAGCCTCCCATGTATCTGGGACCACAGGCACATGCCACCATGCCCAGCTAAATTTTTAAAAATTTTTTTGGTAGAAATGGGGTGTCATTTTGTTGCCCAGACTGGTCTCAAAGTCCTGGGCTCAAGCAATTATCCTGCCTCAACCTCCCAAAGTGCTGGATTATATGTGTGAGCCACCATGCCCAGCCTCAATTTCTTTCTTTTTTTTTTTGAGACAGGGTTTCACTCTATTGCCCAGGCTGGAGTTCAGTGGCACAATCATAGCTCACTGCAGCCTCAAACTTCTGGGCCCAGGTGATATTCCCACCTCAGCCTCCCGAGTAGCTCGGGCTACAGGTACATGTCACTACACTGAGCTAATTTTTTTTTTCTTTTGTAGAGATGGTGTCTGTGTTGCCCAGGCTGGTCTTGAACTCCGAGGCACAAACAATCCTCCCATTACGGCCTCCCAAAGTGCTGGAATTACAGGCATGAGCCATCGCACCCAGCCCCAACTTCTGGTTCTAAATCACTAAATCCCACTCCTCTTCCCCAACAAACCTGGCTTCAGAAATCACCTTAAATTCATCAAGCAGTACTTACCTATATTACACTTCACTTAAGTTTTAAAACTTGTATCTACAAGAAAAGACTGAAATAAAATATATTGAAATACTAGTAATTTTTGGATAACAGAATTATATAACCTTTTATTTCCACAATTTTAAAGACTTTCTGACATATATGTTTAGGTCACCTTAAATCTTTTCTAGAATAAAGAGTTAAGTGCTTCCTATATATCAGACCTTAAGTATTTTATGTATATTAAATCATCTCATGCTTATAATCCTATGAAGTAGCTGTTTTATTAATGTCATTTTAAAGGTGAAGAAACTATGACATAAAGGTTGAGTAATTTGCCCAAGATCACACACAATATGAACAAAGGTACATTGGCCCCCAAGCACATATTCGATACATACCATCTCAAATAAAAGAAGTTTTTTTTAATAGTGAAAAAAACTTATTTAAAAAAAAATGAGTTCTTTAATCAATCTAAATCATTACTACTCTATTACTATGTAGCTCTCTGTACAGTTAAATGGTAAGATATACTTGCAAAACTGCGTATTACAATAAGTGGTATAATCATGTGGATAACTGCAGGTTACATAAAACTAACAAAAGTATAAACTAATAACATACCTCTCCTCTATTCTGTTTTTATCCATGAGAGGCTGCTTAATCCACTGGTTAACAAGTCTTTGTCCTTGAGGGGTTTTACACTTATTCAGCAAGGCAGCCAGAGACTGAGAGCCAGTGGTATCTTCAACAGAACCCTAGTAAACAAAAAATAAAATAGAAAGAATGACACACTCATTAGTGAAAACCTTACTATGCCATGAAAAACAGAGAAACAATAACATAATATTCTTCAAATATTAAGAAATTTCCACAAAAAGTTCCTCTTCCTAAGACCAACTTTCAACTTCTTAATCCATATGTTCAGCTGTACATTTCTCCCCTAGCCAAAACCACTTTATAATTACTACAGTTTTATTTTTTATTTGTTGAGACAGGGTCTCACTCTACTGCCCAGACTGGAGTGCAGTGGTGCCATCCTGGCTCACGGCAAGCCAGAACTCTTGGGCTCAAGGAATCCTCCCACTTTAGCCTTTCAAGTAGCTGAGACTACAGGCGCATGCCACTAAGCCCCGCTAATTTTTTCTCATTATGTTGCCCAGGCTGGTCTCAACTCCTGGCCTCAAGTGATCCTCCCAGCCTGGGCTCCCAAAGTGTTGGGATTACAGGCATGAGCCACGTTACTCAGCCACTTACTGCAGTTTTAGACATAAAGCTTCTTAGAATGTCATTTTAAATTGCTAGGCCAGGCGCAGTGGCTTACGCCTACAATCCCATCACTTTGGGAGGCTGAGGCAGGCAGATCACCTGAGGTCAGGAGTTAGCGACCAGCCTAGCCAACAAGGTGAAACCCCATCTCTACTAAAAATACAAAAATCAGCTGGGCATGGTGGCAGGCACCTCTAATCCCAGCTAATTGCCCAAACCTGAGAGGCAGAGGTTGCAGTGAGCCGAGATCACACCACTGCACTCCAGCCCGGGCAACAAGATACTCCGTCTCAAAAAAAAAAAAAAAAAAGAATTGCTATTAGTAGTAGTACACAAAATTATTCATAAAGTAAGGACTAATACTACATAGATAGCTTGAAACTAGAGGGAAAAAAAAAGCAATTCGAGAGCAAGGCACAGAGGCGCACCTGTAGTCCCAGCTACTTTGGAGACTATGATACAATTGCTTGAGCCCAGGAATTCGAAGCTGTAGTACACTCTGATGGCACTTCCTGTGAATAGCCACTGCACTCCAGCCTAGGGAGCATACACAGTGACACCAGCCTCTTGAAAAAAAAAAAAAAAAAAAGCCTTGAAAAAAAAATAGCAGAGCATGGTGGTTCATGCCTGTAATCCGAGCCACTACTCCAGAGGCTAAGGCAGAAGAATCACTTGAAGCCAGGAGTGAGTGAACATCCTGGGCAACACTGTGAAACTCCAACTCTGAAAAAATGTTAAAATTAAGCAAGCATGGTGGCTTGTGCCTGTAAACCCAGCTACTTATGAGGTTGAAGCAGGAGGATAGCTTGAGCTCAGGAGTTCAATACTGCAGTGAGCTATGATTTTCCCACTTCACTCCACGCTGGGTGACAGAATAAAGTCCAGTCTCTAAAAAAGTAAAAAGTAGGCCAGGCGCAATGGCTCAAGCCTGTAATCCTAGCACTTTGGGAAGCCGAGGTGGGAGGATCACCTGAGATCAGAAATTTGAGACCAGCCTGGCCAACACGGTGAAACCCTGTCCCCCTGTCCCTACTAAAAATATAAAAATTAACCAGGCATGGTGGCAGGCAACTGTAATCCCAGCTACTTGGGAGGTGGAGGTTGCAGTGGGCCGAGATTGTGCCACTGCACTCTAGCCTAGGGGACAAGTGAGACTGTCTTTAAAAAAAAAAAAAAAGTTAAAAAGTGGAGTGGGGGAGGGGATAGAAGAGAAAATATAGCCTTTTGAAGCTACTTACCTAATCCAAGTATAATAATATTTCAAAATATTTTAGCTCCCTAATAAAATTCTTCAGTATATGTCAATGAAAACATTTTTAAACCATTCAACATTTTTAACCCTTTTTTTTTTTTTTTTTTCTTTACCTGAAAAAGGTTAAGGGCTCTGACTGCTGCAATATCCAATTTCATGTACTGGCTGAAGTCAAAAGTAGTCAGTTCAAACTGTCCAAAATTGGAATCATCTGATAAGAGTTCTAAAAACTTGATTACCGCAGACAATGATGAAACTGCAACCTAAAATTAAGAATTTAAAATCAAAGATTTCAATACCACTGGATCCAGTTCTAAAGATTTTCAAAAACAAATGCAAAATGAAAATAAATTCTGAACTCCATCATTTTCCTTGGTGTTCCTTCCCAGTCCAAACCAAGAAAACCAACGGTTAATCTCTTGAGATTTGAAAATGGTTTTTACAAGGTGAAAATTAATGGTAATCGCAGTATTATTTATAATAGCCAAAAAAGAAAATTACCCAAATGTCCATCAAAACTAAAATGGGGGCCAGGCGTGGTGGCACATGCTGTAATCCAAGCACTTAGGGAGGATGAGGCGGGCAGATGACTCGAGGCTAGGAGTGTGACACCAGCTTAGCCAACATAGTGAAACCCCATCTCTATTAAAAATACAAAAATTAGGCCCTTTCAACCTTGTGAGGTTAGAGTGAGAAAATGGTTATCTATGAGAAAGTGGGCCCTCACTGGACAACAGATCAGCCAGTGCCTTAATTTTGAACTTCCCAGTCTCCAGAACTGTGAAATAAAAATACAAAAATTAGCTGGGCATGGTGGCACATGCCTGTAAACCCCAGATACTCAGGAGATGAGAAAGGAGAATTGTTTGAAACCAGAAGACGAAGGTTGCAGTGGGCTGAGATCACACCATTGCACTGCAGCCTGAGCAACAAGAGCGAAACTCCGTTCCAAAAAAAAAAAAGAACTGTGAAAATTAACTGTAATCGCAGGAGTATTTGTAACAGCCAAAAATGAAAATTACCCAAATGTCCATCAAAATTAAAATGGGGGTTGGGCACAGTGGCTCACACCTGTAATCACAGCACTCTGGGAGGCCGAGGCGGTGGATCACCTGAGGTCAGAAGTTCGAGACCAGCCTGGCCAACATAGCAAAACTCCCTCTCTACTGAAAATACAAAAATTAGCCAGGCACGGTGGCATGCAGCTGAACCCAGAGGCAGAGGTTGCAGTGAGCTGAGACTGCACCACGGAACTCCAGCCTGGACAATAGAGCAAGATTCTGAGACTCCATCTCAAAAAAACAAAAAAAAAGGTGAAAATGGGGAGAGTAGCAGCGGCAGGGGGAAGGGAAGTAAAATGGATAAATTCTGACGTTTGTGCTATGAAATATGAACGCAAAAATCCATAACTACACTCAATGATATGCATAAGTCTTACAAATATTGAATGAAAGAAGCTAGGGAAAATATATGATATAATTCCATGTATATAAACTATAAAAACAGGCTGGAGGCGGTGGCTCATGCCTGTAATCTCAGCGCTTCGGAAGGCCAAGGCGGGCAGATCACCTGAGGTTCAGGAGTTTGAGACCAGCCTGACCAACATAGAGAAACTCCATCTCTACTAAGAATACAAAAAAAGATTAGCCAGGCGTGGTGGCACATGCCTGTAATCCCAGCTACTTGGGAGGCTAAGGCAGGAGGATCACTTGAACCCGGGAGGCAGAGGTTGCGGTGAGCTAAGATTACGCCATTCTACTCCAGCCTGGGCAACAAGAGCGAAACTCTGTCTCAAAAAAAAAAAAAGCTTACTCTCATTGATACACAGCTTAGGGTTTAAGACAAATATGACAAATATCCTTCTAAAAAGTCACTATAATTTACATATTATTTATATTATATATTTACATTATATATATTGTAATTCACATTTATAATCCATGTACCTGATTCTCCATTTCTGGCAATACAGCACTATTCATCTGTTCTCCCTTTTTGCCTTTCAACAGCCGGTTGAGGTCCTGATAAATGTCTTTCGTGGAAAAGTCAGCTTTTTTTCTTTCTGTGATCAGAATCCCTCCTCTTTGAATAATCTATTTTGAAATAAATAGTTTAAACTACTATGAAAAAAGGAATAAGAAAAGCAATAATGAAAATGATAACATTGATAATTATAGTGATAACAGATTAACCTACATTAAATGTTTACACAATGTGCAAGACATTGATAATATGATGTACTGACACACTTTTTACATCAATAAACTAAATTTTCATCAAAATATAAAATTACATTCACATAAAGCTTTCAAAAAATAGTCCCAACTGTAACAACTCTTTTTTTGTTTTGAGACAGAGTCTCACTGTCGCCCAGGATGGAATGCGGTGACACAATCTTGGCTCACTGCTACCTCTGCCTCTCAGGTTCAAGCAATTCTCCTGCCTCAGCCTCCCAAGTAGCTGGGATTATAGGAGCAAGCCACCATGCTTGGCTAGTTTTTTTTCCTTCTTTGCATTTTTAGTAGAGACACTGGACAAGCTGGTCTCGAATCCCTGACCTCAGGTGATCCGCCCGCCTCAGCTTCCCAAAGCGCCAGGATTACAGGTGTGAGCCACCGCCCCCGGCCACAAATAATAACCCTTAACAGAACTATTACTTGTGGAAAGTTGCTTAGATACAATCTATGCTAAAAATGTCCATCACATGTGTTATCTCCAGCGGTGCTTATGGTACTTGAAGACCACAAAAAGTAAAGAATCCTCGGGAGATACATACCTTAAGAAATATCTAGGCCAGGTGCTGTGGCTCATGCCTGTAATTCCAGCACTTTGGGAGGCTGAGGTGGGGGGATCACCTGAGGCCAGGAGTTCAAGACCAGCCTGACCAACATGGTAGAACACTGTCTCTACTAAAAATACAAAATTGGCCAGGTGTGGTGGGGCATGCCTGTAAGCCCAGCTACCCGGGATGCTGAGGCAGGAGAATCGCTTGAACCCAGGATGTGGAGGTTGCAGTGAGCTGAGATCATGTCATTACACTCCAGCCTGGGCACCAAGAGTGAAACTCCACCTCAAAGAAAAAAAAAAAAAGAAGTATCTAAATAATCAACTACATGCCTATAACAAATGACACAATCAAAGCCAAGCATGGTGGCTCACGCCTGTAATCCCAGCACTTTGGGAGTCCGAGGCGGGTGGATCACAAGGTAAGGAGTTCAAGACCAGCCTGGCCAAGATGGTGGAACCTCATCTCTACTAAAAATACAAAAATTAGCTGCATGTGGTGGTGCACACCTGTAATCCCAGCTACTCAGGAGGCTGAGGCAGAAGAATTGCTTGAACCTGGGAGGCGGACATTGCAGTGAGCCAAGATCGCACCACCGCACTCCAGCCTGGGTGACAGAGAGAGACTTGGTCTCAAAAAAAACAAAAAACAAAAAACAAATCACACAATCAGAATTTAGTTAAAATAAATAGCAAAATAACAGGCTAAAGTTCCACTCAAACTATCAAAACATGCTAAAGAACTGCATCTTATTTGATAAAACCATAATTACAGTGATATTTACTGTAATAATTACTCTTTTGGAACACAAGACAGAAAGGAAAGGGGGGAGAAAAGATCTGAGGTAAAATAAATCTTACACAAGAAACAGCTTGTTTTAATGTCCAATTAAATATACCGTTTCTGTGAATGTAAACATCAAAACATTATTTTAATTAGATACAAAAAAAATAGAGTTTTTTATTATTTTTCCTTAAATAAAACAGTATCATGTCAATTAAAGAGCCTTTCCTAGGCCTGGAATCTCCTCTATCACTAGACTCAATCTGCTTACCTGTCTCAGTTTCCCCATGTCTCCAGCAGTCTCTCCTCCAGGTAAAACACATTCCTTTGGTCCAATCTGGATGAGGAGAGCCTCAAGATTGGAGAACTGATCATTATCAGGGAATTCACACAGTCCTAGCTTCCTCTGTATGGAATCCACATACCCAACTCCAACCTGTCTCTGGCCATCAACTGTGGACATTTTAACACCCACAACACCAATGGAAGCTGACATATCATTGTTACCAAAGAGAATGTCTTCAAACTGAGATAGATTGCCAGGAGAAGCCTAAGTAAAAATAAAATTTCAAAAATTTAACAAACTCTTCAATGTACTTTAAAATTTTACTAGCAAAAAGGAAAAATCCAAACTCAATGAACCTTATTAATAAAATGCTTTCTTTTTTTTTTGAGATGAAGTCTTGCTCTGTCACCCAGGCTGGAGTGCAATGGTACCATCTCGACTCACTGCAACCTCTGCTTCAAGGTTTCAAGCAATTCTCCTGCCTCAGCCTCCCGAGTAGCTGGGAATACAGGCGCACACCACCACGCCCAGCTAATTTTTGTATTTTTAGTAGAGATTGGGTTTCACCATGTTGGCCAGGCTGGTCTCAAACTCCTGACCTCGTGATCTGCCTGCCTCAGCCTCCCAAAGTGCTGGGATTACAGGTGTGAGCCATCGCACCTGGCCAATAAATTGTTTTCTTATAAAAAATAACTGGCCGAGTGCAGTGGCTCACGCCTGTAATCCCAGCACTTTGGGAGGCCAAAGTGGTCAAATCATGAGGTCAGGAGATCAAGACGATCCTGGCCAACATGGTGAAATCCCGTCTCTACTAAAAATACAAAAATTATCCAGGTGTGGTGGCACGCACCTGTAATCCCAGCTACTTGGAAGGCTGAGGCAGGAGAATCACTTGAATCAGGGAGTCGGAGGTTGCAGTGAGCCAAGATGGCACCACTGCACTCCAGCCTGGCAACAGAGCAAGACTCTGTCTCAAAATAAATAAACAAATAACTGCTTGTGGTTGGGCACAGTGGCTCACACCTGTTATCTCAGCACTTTGGGAGGCCAAGGCAGGCAGATCACTTGAGGTCAGAAGTTCAAGATCAGCCTGGCCAACATGGTGAAACCCCGTCTCTACTAAAAATACAAATCTGTAGTACTCATTTGTGGCCAGCCTTACCTATTACAAGGATCTTACAAATACTTGTCTCTATTATGACCTTAGTACTGGCCCTGCCCTCCCCTTCCCTGGCCCTCCTCCCTCCTTTTCCCATCCCCTCCCCTCCCCTCAGAAATTATCTATCTAATCTATCCCTCTATAGAGATGGAATCTTCCTACATTGCCCAGGGTGGTCTCAAACTCCTGGACTCATGCAATCCTCCTGCCTTGGCCTCTGAAAGTTAAACTGTAACCTCAACCTCCTGGGCTCAAGTGATCCTCTCACCTCAGCCTCTTGATTAGCTGGAACCACAGGTGTGTGCCAACAGCCCCAGCTAATTTTTTTTAATTTTTTTATCTTCAATAGAGATGAGGTTTTACCATGTTGGGCAGGCTGGTCTTGAACTCTTGGGCTCAGGCAATCTGCCTGCCTCAGCCTCCCAAAATACTGGGATTACAAGCAAGAGCCACTGTGCCCAGCCAAACTGCAACTTTTTAAAAACCACATGCTAATTGCTACTAAAGTGTCTCAAAGCATTCTATTATCACAGTCTACTTAAAATACTAAAACACAATTAAATTCTTCACATTTTTATTTTTCTACTCTTAAAAAAACAAGTAAATTAAAAAGGAAGATAATTACCTTATATGCCAAATACCAATCATTCTCCTTGGATGCCTTATTTCCAGCTCTGTTCTTATAAACTTCAACTCTATACTGACGAACCAGAAGAAGATCTTTTACAAAAGATTCAAAATTCATTTTACTAAGCACAACACTCTGCAGATTCTTTGCTCCTTAAAAAAAAAAAAAAGTACATTACAGATTTGAGATATTACATGTTCAAGCACTGTATCAGTCGGACTTCACACTGCTGATAAAGACATACCAGAGTCTGGGAAGAAAAAGAGGTTTACTGGACTTATAGTTTCACGTAACTGGGGAGGTCTCACAATCATGGCAGAAGGCAAGGAGGAGCAAGTCATGTCTTACATGGATGGCAGCAGGCAAAGAAAGAGGTTGTGCAGGTAGACTTCCATTTTTAAAACCATCAGATCTCATGCGACTTATTCACTATCACGACAACAGCATGGGAAAGATCCATCCCCATGATTCAATTATCTCCCACCAGGTCCCTCCCATAACACATGGGAATTCGAGATGGGATTTGGGTGGGACACAGCCAAACCATATCATTCTGCCCCGACCCCTCCCAAATCTCATGTCCTCACATTTCAAAACCAATCATGTCTTCCCAACAGTCCCCCAAAGTCTTAACTCATTTCAGCATTAACTCAAAATACCACAGTCTAAAGTTTCATCCAACACAAGGTAAGTCCTTTCCACCTATGAGCCTGTCAAATCAAAAGCAAGTTAGTTACTTCCCAGATACAATGGGGTACCGGCATTGGGTAAATACAGCCCTTCCAAATGGGAGAAATTGGCCGAAACAAAGGCGCTACAAGCTCCATGCCAAGTCCAAAACCCAGCATGGCAGTCAAATCTTAAAGCTCCAAAATGATCTCCTTTGACTCTATGTCTCACGTCCAGGTCACGCGGATGCAAGAGGTGGGCAACCACAGCCTTGGACAGCACTGCCCCTGTGGCTTTGCAGGGTACAGCACCCCTCCTGGTTGCTTTCATGGGTTGGCGTTAAGTGTCTACAGCTTTTCCAGGCATATGGTGAAAGCTGTCTGTGGATCTACCATTCTGGGGTCTGGAGAATCATAGCCCTCTTTTCACAGCTCCACTAAGTGGTGCCCCAGTAGGGACTCTGTGTGGGGGCTCTGACCCCACATTTCCCATCTGCATTGCCCTAGCAGAGGAACTCATGATCACCCCACCCCTGCAGCAAACTTCTGTCGGCACATACATCCCTGAAACATAGGCAGAGGTTCCCAAACCTGAATTATTGATTTCTGTGCACCTGCAGGCTCAACACCACCTGGAAGCTGTCAAGGCTTCAGGCTTGCACCCTCTGAAGCCATGGCCTGAGCTCTACCTTGGCCCCTTTCAGCCATGGCTGGAGCAGCAGGCCACCAAGCTGCTAGGCTGCACACAGCATGGGAACCCTGGGCTGACCCATGAAACCACTTTTTTCTCCTAGGCCTCTAGGCTTGTGATGAGAGGGGCTGCCATGAAAACCTCTGACATGCCCTGGAGACATTTTTCCCATTGTCTTGGGGATTAACATTGGGATCCTCATTACTTATGCAAATTTCTGCAGCTAGCTTGAATTTCTCCTCAGAAAATGGGATTTTCTTTTCTATCACATTGTCAGGCTGCAAATTTTCCAAACTTTCATGCTGTTTCCCTTTTAAAACTGAATGTCTTTAACAGCACCCAAGTCACCTCTTGAAAGTTTTGCTGCTTAGAAATTTCTCCCGCCAGATACCCAAAAGAATTTCTCTCAAGTTCAAAGTTCCACAAATTTCTAGGGTGGGGCAAAATGCCACCAGTCTTTTTACTAAAACATAACAAGTGTCACCTTTGCTCCAGTTCCCAACAAGTTCCTCATCTCCATCTGAGACCACCTTAGCCTGGATTTCATCGTCCATATCATTATCAGGATTTTGGTCAAAGGCATTCAACAAGTCTCCAGGAAGTTCCAAACTTTCCCACATTTTCTGGTCTTCTTCTGAGCCCTCTAAACCGTTCCGACCTCTGCCTGTTACCCAGCTCCAAAGTCACTTCCATATTTTCGGGTATCTTTTCAGCTGCGCCCCACTCTACTGGTACCAGTTTACTGTTTTAGTCCATTTTCACACCGCTAATAAAGACATACCCAGCTGGGTGTGGTGGCTCACGCCTGTAATTCCAGCACTTTGGAAGGCCGAGGCGGGCAGATCACGAGGTCAAGAGATCAAGACTATCCTGGCCAACATGGTGAAACCCCATCTCTATTAAAAATACAAAAATTAGCTGGGTGTGGTGGCATGCACCTATAGTCCCAGCTACTTGGGAGGCTGAGGCAGGAGAATCGCTTGAATCCGGGAGGCAGAGGTTGCAGTGAGTTGAGACTGCGCCACTGCAGTCCAGCCTAGCAACAGAGCAAGACTGTCTCAAAAAAAAAAAAAAAAAGACATAGCTGAGACTGGGCAATTTACAAAAGAACAAGGTTTAATGGACTTATGGTTCCACATGGCTGAGGAGGCCTCACAATCAATGAGGAAGGCAAGGACGAACAAGTTACATCTTACATGGATGGCAGCAGGCAAAGAGAGAGGGCTTGTGCAGGGAAACTTCCGTTTTTAAAGCCATCAGATCTTGTGAGGCTTATTCACTACCAGGAGAACAGCACAGAAAAGACCCACCCACATGATTCAATTATGTCCCACCAGGTACCTCCCACAACACGTGGGAATTCAAGATTAGATAAGGGTGGGAACACAGCCAAACCATATCAAGCACCTAACACATTGCTAACCCAAAAACTTCCAGTGTTTTTTCAGTAATTTATTCATTTAATAAATTGTCTACGAAGCACTATTATATGTGCAGGGACTATGGAAGGTAATAGATATAAAATAGTGAATAGCATAGACCCTCTGCTTATATGGAGTCTACACATAAAAATCAAAAGTTCTAAAGATGATAACTTTTTAATTTTTTTGTAGAGATGGGTCTCGCTGTGTTACACAGGCTGGTCTTTACCTCCTAGCATCAAGTTATCCTCCCACCTTGGTATCCCTAAGTGCTGAGATTACAGGCACGAACCACTGCACTTGGCCTGTCCTTTCTTATAATTTGTTTTAAAGTCTTTTTTTTTTTTTTTTTGAGATGGAGTCTCACTGTGTTGCCCAGGCTGGAGTGCAGTGGCAGTATCTCTGGCTCACTGCAAGCTCTGCCTCCCGGGTTCATGCAATTCTCCTGCTTCAGCCTCCCAAGTAGCTGGGGCTATAGGCACCTGCCACCACGCCCAGCTAATTTTTTGTATTTTTAGTAGAGATGAGGTTTCACCGTGCTAGCCAGGATAGTCTCGATCTCCTGACCTCGTGATCCGCCCACCTCAGCCTCCCAAAGTGCTGTGATTTTTGTATTTTTAGTACAGGCGGGGTTTCACCGTGTTAGCCAGGATGGTCTTGATCTCCTGACCTCGTGATCCACCCACCTCAGCCTCCCAAAGTGCTGAGATTACAGGCAAGTGCCACTGCAACTGACCTGTTTTAAAGTCTTATGTAAAATCTATGTAGGTCAAGTGCACATTGGGAGACCAAGGTGGGAGGATCACTTGAGGTCAGGAGTTTGAGACCAGCCTGGCCAACATGGTGAAACCCCATCTCTACTAAAAATACAAAAAATTAGCTAGGTGTGGTGGCACGTGCCCTTAATCCCAGTTACTCAGGTGGCTGAGGCAGGAGAATCGCTTGAACCCAGGAGGTGGACGTTGCAGTGAGCCAAGATTATACAACTGAACTCCAGCCTGGGCGACAGAGTAAGATTCCATCTAAAAAAAAAAAAAAATCTTCAGACTTTTAATTGCCTACAGCGTAAAATTCCGACAGCTCAACACAACATGAAAAACCTTTTGTCATCTAACACCACCCACCTAGGCTAGTCTCCACACCTTCCTTTTCTACATCACCAACGCCAATCTACCTTCTTTCAAGCCCTCTCCCTAGCAAACTTCTAGTCTCAACGTGGACTTTGGTGTCTCATATAACGCCTCTTTCGAGGTCTCCAGTTTTTGTCTCTTGCAACCTCTTGCAAGCTCACACCATAAGCCTCCAACTTGAATTGTAATGATTTCTGCCTTGCTCTCCAATAGTGATCTCTATGACAGTAGAGGTATTTCTTTTTCATCTAGTGTCCATAACCCTGCCTAACACATTTCTATCTAACGAATGAAACCTTTTGCATCAGGAGCATCGCATTTGCACTAGTCCTCTAGTCAGGACTAGAACCCACAACTCTACTCCCCCTAGGATGCTCTTTTCATTAGCATAACTACATAGTTGCAAGAAAGCGCAAAGAAAACAGAGAGAAAAGAGGTTAACTAGGCCTATCCAAAACATTTGGCCCACATAGGGTGAGACGTTTGTAGCTTTCCAGGGAGAGAGAATGCTGCATAGATGGGGTCGGGTGACGGAGAGCACTGAATGCTGAGCTAAAGCAGATAGCGTTCATGACTAGCCCAAGGTCACACGTTAATAACCAGAGGGGCAGCGACTTGATCCCAAGGAGCCCAGCTCCAGAGTCCGTTGGTCCTGACCACTTCATCATACTGCCCCTTAACGGCGCTCCATTACCAGCCCCTGAGCTGGACCGGCGGTATAAATGGGAGCGTCGTGGGAGCAGAATAACGTGGGTGGCATGAAAGGGTCTCCTAAACCCCCTCTATTTTAAATCTCACTCCTGGCTGCTGTTTGTAATAAGAGATTCTGGCCGTGTTTGTAATGAGCGCTACATGTAGGGCCACGGCGAGGAATGCGACCGCTGGAAAATGAACTAGAAGAATGCATTAAAATGCCTGGCACGACGTAAACACTCCGTGATCACAAGTTCAGATCCGGGACGGCTGGAGAGGCACGGGTTTCAGGGCTGAGGGGGGCGTCCCTCCGGAGCCAAGCAGAACCTGGGGACCGCGGAATTCCCACCAGCACAACGTTCCGCCCCCGTGCCTCCGCGCTGGAGAAGCTGCTCATCACCCACTTTCTGAGGCGAGAATGGAGCCGCGCCACAGGGCCCCGGGTCCCCCCACAGCACGCGCCGTCCTCGCCCTCACCTGCCGGCCCCATATACTTGATCACCCCCTGGGTCTTGAACACCTCCCGGGCGGCCAGCAGCGCGTCCTCGCCGTGAGCCGTATAGAAGTCGCCCCGGTCGAAAAGGCGCACCGTGGTGGTCGGTTTCTCCGGCATGCTCTGAAAGAAACGCACGAAGCCGACCTCGGCCGCGCTCTCCAGCTGCAGCGTCTCCTTAGGTTGCACCGCCATGTCGGAACCTCCTCACCTCCTGGCAGAAAGAACTGCGCGACCCCACACCCACTATGCTGTTTCCCGCCTCCCCTCCCACGTCCCCCCGAGCGGCGTCCGGTCACGGCGGCCACACCCAATCAGCTTCCAGGGCTGCGTTTCGGTGGGTGGGAGTCTGCCGCGGCAACCAA